GCATCACGTGGGATCCAACAGGAGAGGCAGAGCCCTTCCTGGTCACACCGCAGTGGCCGCCCCACCCAGCAAGCAGCTACCAGCTGATCACCAGGGGATACCCCAAGACCCAATCATTTTCCAAACTCATCCCTGGGGGACACCCCAGATCTAAACCATAGCTCATGGTAACTGCTGTATGAAATTTTCACCTTTCTGAAGGATACAGGTCCCAAGACACCAGCTTGAGTGTGAACCTCCAAACCTGCCACACCCTGACTTCGGACTTCTGCCCTCCTGAACTATAAGCCACTGACTTCTGTGCTTTATACCGTATCCAGTCCCGGGCATCCTGTCATAGTGGATAAACAGATGCACACAATCACCATCACTACCAATATTTTTAATGAAGTGCTCCTGGGGTTTCTCTTTGTATTTGGTGTCCTGGAAGCATGGTCCTCCCTGGGGACCCCTGGCCTTCCTGGAGTGGACTGTGGGAACCTCCTAGACTGGAGGAGCCCCCTGCCTGACATCTAAGCATCCCCTCCAGCCTGGTGCATTCCCATCTTCTTACCTAAGATACACAGGTGACTTCCTCAGGGAGCACAGACGTGAGTACAGGCTTGCGGACTGGCTCTATCGAGAGGGTCTAAAGCCTTCAGGTGTGCAGTAGGAAAGCTCTCCTGGCCCCCACAATCCAACGTGGCTCCCCAGAGGAAAAGCCTCCCATAATAACCAGAGTTTTTCAACTGAAATTGTCTTTCCACCTTATGTGTCCTTGCGGAGCGGTCTGGAGTTAGGGGCCTCTTCGCTCTGAGAAGCAGACATCCAGGTGGGAGGAGAACGCAGCTGTGCACACAGGCCTGTACCGCAGGGCCTGGGAGGCTGGCTCAGGAGGACTCAAGCCCCGCCTAGGGTGCTAGTGAGCCCTGTCTCAAGGGAGCCAAAACAAACAAAGAAATGGAATTGATGTCAAGAGATTTACAGGGAAACACTGTGAGGACAGAAAGATAGGTGGGGGCAGTGCTCAGTAAGTGCCATCCTAGACTTCAGCCTAGAAGTGAGAAAGGTCCAAAGGCAGTGGAGAGCCTGAGCCAGCGCACCCAGCACAGGACAGCCTGTCTGTGCCTAGGCCCCAACCTCTGGGGAACTCAGGGCACACAGTGGCTGTCTCTCCCTCTGGCTCACCAGGGCCAGTGGGCAGCCTGAGAGATGAGGACCTAGGGTCCTGGCCACAGCATCCTTTGTTCCAGAAGACAGAAGCAGCTGCATTAAGCCCGTGTCTCCATTAATTTTCTCTCATTGCTAGGACAAAATACTTAATACTCAAAATTAAGAAAAGAACAGTTTATTTGACTCACAGTTAGTGGAGTTTTCAGTCCATAATCAGTGGGCTCCAAGGAGAGGGCAGCAGTTCAGGGTGGTGGAAAACAACAAAACAGAAGAAAAGGGAGGCCAAGCATTGGGCAGAGAGGCATGCCTCTCTCCCTTGTATTGCCTTCAGGCCACCATAACCCTAGTATTGGATCATGAATTAATCACAGACTCTAGAAGCCTGCTGCCCCACTGACTGCATGACGCTTTGGGGCACAACTAGACACAAATCATAACAGCCCATCACTGTGATGTACTGTCCCTTGTCACAATGTCCCCGTCACCAGGGCAGAGGGGGAAGCTCCTGTGATTCTGGGTAAAGCTCCTTCTGCTGGACTGCTTTCTGCATGCAGGGCTTCTCCAGCTAGGTCCCTTTCCATCTCACTGCTGGGCGTCAAGAGTGAGACTTGGAACCAACTCTGGGGGTCGCTCTCGACTTTTATCTTCCCTGATTCCTCTCATCAATACTATTATTCCAAGTTATCAAAAATCCTTACTGAAATATAGCAAGACAAGACATAATTACTGTAACCTAGGCTGATACCATTTAGAACTAAATAGTCTCTCTCTCTCTCTCTCTCTCTCTCTCTCTCTCTCTCTCTCTCTCTCTTTGTTGTACTACTGAGGACAGAATGCTAGTTCTATTTACATTTGGAGACAGGGTCTCACTAATTTACTAATTTGTTAAATTACCCAGGCTGGGCTGGAACTTCTGACCCTCCTGCTTCAGCTTCCCTAAGTGTGCATTACAGGCCTGTGCCAGTGCCTGGCTTTCAGTTTCTTGTTATAATAACTTTATACACAGGTGAAATGTATTCACTTGAAACCAATACAATCTATTGAAAACAATTTGAAGAATTCATCATTTTTAACTTTTCTAATGGCCATGCTTAAAAACTAAAAAGATCAGATAAAATTAGAACAAGTCATGTGTGGGGAAGTTTCTGACACAAAATATATATATATATATATATATATGGATTTAGTACAGGGGATACAGGATCTACAGGGTCTCACTACATAGATCAGACTTATAGTGAGCCTCCTGTTTTCAGCCTCCCACGCACTGGGATTAGAGGTGCGTGCCACCATGCCCAGTCTCAATCGCTATCTTAGTATGCCCCGAGGGTGGGGCCAGCACAGCAGGCCAGGGAAACCCCAGCCACTGCACTCTGCCTAAGCAGGCGCTTTCATCTGATGAGCTATCAGACCAGCTTGACACAAATATTCTTAAGGATGGTGAGTTATCCCAAACAGAGGTAATGACCATTAAACCATAAAATTTCTGGGGTTTTTCTCATCTCTTCTCCTTTACTGGATCATGCCTTACTCCAAGAAACAATGCAAGATGGCTGTGTTCAGCCAATAGGAAGGCACTTAGCTCATTCCACATGCACAGCCCTAAAACTTACTTGGAAATCGGTGCGCTGCGACTTTTTTTTTTGGAACCAGGGATTGAACTCAGGCCCTTGCAGTTGCCAGGGAAGCACTTATTCCACCAAGCCATCTCCCCAGACCCACGCACTGTGACATTAAATCAGAGCATAAAGTGTTAGAATCAGGGTTAGGCTGTCCTTGTTTTGGAACTGACTCTGCAACTCTACATCTTTAGGCAAAGAAAATTTGCTTTGTTCAATTTTGAACTGGGACTAGAAGACCAAAAGTACAGACTTCTGGGAGTTAAGAGTTACATTTTAGGTAAATCCTTTAAACTGCCAAAGCCTCCATTTTTACATCTGTTACACAGCAGAGAGGAAGGGAGACAGAGGCTCTCATAAAAGCCCAAAGGTCACCAGTGCTGCAAGGTGCAGAGAGGAAGCGCTCAGCAAATGGTAGCCACCGTGTCGTTATGCACGATGGCGACTGCACCTACGTCTTTCCTAACTTCTAAGCAAAACCTCACTTCTCCATCCACTGTGAGCATAGCGACATCACACTCGCATGAGAGGGGCTGGGCACTTTGCACCAGTAGAGGCCACAAGTCCCTTCCTGGTACAGCTCTGATGTCACAGACCCCTCAGGCAGCTGCTGTGTCCGCTGCCCTTGTGGGCTGACAGCAGCCCCGTGAGCTGCTGCTGGATCTCGCTCTTCACTACAGAGGCGCAGAAAGGCGCTCCACATGTTGTTTTTATCTCTATCTTGGTTTCCTTTGTAGGACTATGGACTTTATTTTTTGTACTTATTCTGAGCACATCCACGGCTTCAACTGGCTGCGCTACAGGAGAGGTTAAGACTCACTCTGCCTTAGCCATCCGTTTGGACCCCAGCCCTCCTGGGCCGTGTGGACAGAAGCCATGATGGCCCTGGCCACGCAGCTGGCATCCTGCACAACCCATGCCATTCAATCCCTGACCCTGTCTGTGTCCAGCCCCCGCCCATGTCCACCCCGACCCGCGTCCACCTCCTGAGCCCCATGTCCAAGGCTGTCCCGCGTGTCCATTGCCTTCTGTGACCAGCACCTGTCCTGCGTGTCCGCCCCATCCCGTGTCCACCCCGAGTCCAGTTTCTGCCCCTTTGTCCAAGGCCAGTCCCCCATGTCCAGCCCGTCATCTGTGGCCAACTTCGTATCCACCTTCTTTCCCGTGGGGCTGCTAAAAGAGACCGCTTGGCCCGGGGATCAATGGACAGCGTCCCCCACCCTGCTCTCCCGGAGGGCGGGGCTGACGCAGCGGGGTGGGGCGAGGGGCGGGAGGGGAGGGGCGAGGGGCGGGGCTCCCGGCGGGCGCTGCGCGCGTCACGTGACGCCGCGCCGGGTACAAAAGCTACGCGGCCATCTTGGGAGAGCAGCCGCAGCGCCGCCTCCCGCCGCGTCGTTCCCGATCGCAGCCTCCGCCTGCCTCGGCTGCTGCTGCCCGCGCCCGCCGCCCGGCCTCTACCGCCTCCGCCGCCTTCCTCCGCCTCCTCCCGTCCTCTCGCCGCCGCGGCCTCCTTTCGCACGTCCGGGCGGGCCCCGCAGGAATTCGTCCCCACCGGCCTCACACTAGTGTCGCATGTCCACTATCCAGAACCTCCAATCCTTCGGTGAGTGCCGCCCGCCGGGAAGATGGCGCCGCGACCACCGGGGGCCCAGGGCGCCGGTGCGGGGTCGGGGCGTCGGGGCCGCGGGCGATCGGGGACGGGCACGGGTCCTGGCCGCGGCCTCCCGCGTCGCGTGCGCCTTCCATTTGTTTGTGTCTCCGCAGGCGCGGGGACACCGTCGCGAGCGGTCGTGTCCGCGCCCTTGTCGCCGTGCGCCCGGGATGACGCACGCTGTGACCGCGGCGACAGAGTGGGCCCGGCGTCGTCCTGCTGGAGCCATCGCCGGTCCCGCTGCGCCGCCGTCCGGGGTCCCCGTCCCCGAGCCGAGCCGCAGCTCCGTGTTTTGTTCCCTCGCAGACCCCTTCGCTGATGCCACTAAGGGTGACGACTTACTCCCGGCAGGGACTGAGGACTACATCCATATAAGGATCCAGCAGCGCAACGGCAGGAAGACGCTCACCACGGTCCAGGGCATCGCCGATGACTATGACAAGAAGAAGCTGGTGAAGGCCTTCAAAAAGGTGCAGGCTGCACAGAAAGGGATGCCGGCCAGCAGCCGGCGGAGGACCGCAGGGCCCAGCCCTGCCCCAGAAAGAGGATGGATAAGGGGGCGGGATCGGTGCAGTGGACCTGCTTGCAGCCCTCTGGAGGGTGTCAGGGTGGCTCAAAACGATGGGCCCAGAAAGGCGTTTCCCTTTCTTCCTTAGCGCCTAGAAATGAGGCTGTGCTCCCAGGCTGGTCACCCATCATAGAATAAAGCTTTTTTTTTTTTTTTTTTCCCGGAACCGGGGGTTGAACTCAGGCTCCTGCGCTTGCCAGGCAATCACTTATTCTACTGAGCCATCTCCCTGACCCCTAAAGCATTTGTTCTTGATGTCCCACATAAAATTAAATTTCTTTATATGACCTGCTCATTCACTTATAAATTAATTTGGAAGGGTTGCAGATTTTAGGAGACAATCTGTTTCTAGAAGATAATAAACTTACTAGAATAGTGATTTTGTTCTCACGGTGAAATAAAAGCTTGTAAATAAAAAATCACTGCATTGACTAAGTCGTGCTTGTAAATGTCTTTCCCCAGAAATTTGCCTGCAATGGTACTGTGATTGAGCACCCTGAGTACGGTGAGGTTATTCAGCTGCAAGGTGACCAAAGAAAGAACATTTGCCAGTTTCTTTTGGAGGTGAGTGGTTGGGTGCCTTATGCAAATCATGAAATTGCTTCTAAAAATAAACACTGCAGGAATTATTTTCTACTTTATAAAAGTCATGTCAGTAAAGTACAGACTTGAGGCTCATTTTGAAGGCAGTCGACTTCATTCCCGAGTGTGAGCAGTGTCTCCCACCACGTGGGGCACCTGCAGGGTGGGGTGGGGTGGGGTGGGGTGCTGCCGACATCCAGGGCTCAGTGCTGCACCAGCTGCCGGCCGATGTTCTGGCAGCTGCCCTTGGCATTCCCTAGAGATGAAGACGATGCCTCAGGGTGCTCTCTTGTTCGACAGGTTGGCATCGTCAAGGAGGAGCAGCTTAAGGTGCATGGATTCTGAAGTGAGCCTCCGCAGATGCAGAATGTCTTGAGTGAGTGTCCTCTAGACCCAGCTTGGCTGCCTTGTGAAATGATTCCCTGCAGTGAGCGGACTTTTCATTTATTCAGTCATCCAAACTTCCACTGCCACCAGCATGACAGGAAACGTGGGACGTGCAGGCTGGAGACACATAAGGAAATTGCAGTCAGATGGTAATGAGGCCCTGGGTTCATCCTAACATGTTTCCCATGGAAAATACTTTGTTTTGAGTGTTCGTTTGTTGTTTGTTTTCAGTTGACTAAATGTTTTTTGTTGTATTAAACCTTGTATGTTGCAGCTTAACAATAAAAAAGTCTGAATTCTTTATGAGCTGTTATGCTCCCAGATCTAAGCAAAACAAGGCACACTTGCTTTGTGTTTGAAGTTGGACCTGGCACTGTGCTTCAGCGCTGTCACACCCAGAGATACAGGGAAGTTTTTGTTACGCATAGTGTGTTTTGCATTTACTGATTTCTAAATACTAAAGCAGGACCATGAACTCCTGCAGAGCCACTACCTGCAGGCCTACTGAAGGGTGCCACAAATTTTTATCAGGAAATGATGTACAAGTTGAAACTCTCAGCAGAGTTCCCTTATGTGTGTTGTCGGTCTTCACTGGCCTGCTGCCCCTAAGTGCCAGGTACTGTCACAGCCAGGACCCAACGAACATATGGCCCAGGTGCAGCCCAGCAAGTGTTGCTTGGTGGTTAGCAGCTCCAGTGTAGAGGCTCAGGCCTCAGGCCCCTGGAGTGCTGAGGGAAGGCGGTCCGGCGGGGAAAGCTGCGCCTCACCATAGCTCTGGGTGCTCACCACAGCTGACCTCCCGGCCGTGGGGATGAGATTCTGTTGCAGCTCAGCCTCCAGGTCCAGGGCTCTGCATCCTGGGGGGCGGGGGAGAGCAGCGGGTGTTCCTCAGAGCAAGGCCCAAGTAGCAGGAGCCACCTCGCACCCCGCAGTTGTGGTGTGGAGAGCAGTCAAGGATGCTGCCAGCTCCCAGCAAGGCTTGCATCTGACATGATGATTGAGTGTGAGGTCAGCCTTCCCAGGTTCACCTCCCAGAGGAGCTCGGCCAAGGGCTTCCTTACCTTGTCACCCCATTCTGCCCCATGACCAGTGAAACTCCAGGTCCTAGTGCCAGATGATTGTGTAAACTCACTTCTAGAAAGTTAAAATTTTTCTTGGATTTCCTGAGACAGGGCCTCACTGTGTAATCCAGACTGGCCTCAGAGTCAACAATGCTGCCTCAGCCTCCCAAGTGCTGGGATTACAGGAGTACACTGCCGTACCCAGCTGGCCTTGGCAGGTTGCAGTAGGACACAGGTTTGGCAGTATTCTCTGGCTGGCCGAGAAGCCATCAACTTGTTGATGACAGCCCATAAAACTCCCATCCCTCATTGAGTATGTGGAGATGGAGGTGCAGGCAAGTGACACCCATGTTGTAGTACTGCTCCATAGGGTCCTGGCTGGGGACGAGCTGGTGCCGGGACAGGGACCCCTTGCCCAAAGCCAGTGAGGAGCTGTGTGTCAGTGAGCAGGGTCGCAGGCCTGAGCAAACCTGCCCTGGGGGTTCTGGGGAGAGGGCAGCCCCTCAGCTGGGAGCACCATGCTGCTTGGACCTGTACTGTGGGGCAGCCAGGTCCCTAGCAGAGCAGGCAGTGGGAAGAGCACCTCATGCCTGTGGGGCACGAGTCTCTCCTGGGTGGACCCGGCACCATCACCCTCAGCTGGAAAAGCCAAGCAGGAGCCTCAGACATGGGCAAAGCTGACCACTGTCATTGTCCTAGCAGTGAGAGGCCGGTGCAAGTGACCAAGCAGGGAAGATGATCCTGCTGGGTGGTTGGCAGCCAGCTGGTCCCCATCCCTCTGCTAGGACTGTTGCAGCCTACAGTTTCCTTAGTAGTTTATACAGAATGAAAAGCAGAGGTTGAGTCTGTCCCCAGGCTTCGGGACTTGGCAGAGATGAAAGCTCCCTCTGCCCTCCTCTCTGGCCACAGAGTCCAAGTACACACCTGCTCTTCTGACCCAAGCAACTGCAGCCCCCACAGCGTGTGGCACTGGTCTTGGACGGGCAGCCCTGTCCTGCTAGCGATCACAGCCAGAGCAGCTGGAGGTGGGCTGGTGGGTTCGAGCTGCAGGAAGTGCTGCACAACACGCCTTGGCTCACTGGACCCAAGGCCATGAGCAGGGCAAGGTGCTTATCTGGGTTCCAGGGGCCTGGAAAGGCAGCTGGAGTTAGCAAAGCCGTGTGGCAGCCTCCTGGGCTGTAGTCAGCCCACCACTGAGAGCTGCAGAAGTACAGCTTGTGGAAGTGCAGCTGCACTCCTCCCTCCAGGAAAGGACAAGGGGCACCAGCTGGCCTGGCACGCTCTCCCGCACAGGCGGACACCCACAGGCATTCTGTCCTACTTGGCACTGTCATACCAGGCCCACCAGGACAGGGCCTGCTGCCGTGTGGTCTCAGCTCTGCTCCCTCCCAGACGCACGGTGCCCTGTCCCAGGGCCACCTGGCCGTGCACGCCCCCAGCTCACACGCAGAGCCGGGCACTGCTGATCCAGGGCACAAAAGCAGTCTGACATCAAAAGCCAGAACCCTAGCCAATGGGCTTGGTGTGCTCTGGGAGGCTGAGACAGGAGACGTAAGTGACTTAGCAATACCCCATCTTGAAAATAAATAGGCTGGGGACATAGTGTGAATCCTAGGTCCAATCCCCCGAAGCCAAGCTTCTCAGGAAACCCAAGTGACCGCAGGCTCCTTACAGCCCTTGGAGGGTTCTATCAGTGATCCAGAGGGAGCTAGCTTAACCCGTGTCCCCATCCCCAGCTGCTAGGGTGACAGCAGCCTGGGAGGGGAAGAGGAGCCCGGGGAGGCAGAAAGGGGTCATCCGCGCCCATCACGCTGCCTGGAGCCTTGGTGCCACTGACATGTTCACAGCTTGGAAAACCCTAGCCCACAGTCCAGAGGCCGGCGCGGCTTTGGGCACAGTCACGCCCCCAGGTGTGGGCTGCTGGGAGAGAGGCCTAGGGGAGCAGGGGACAGACATGGTCCTTTGCCGCCCCCTTGTGGCCACTTCAAGCACCTGGGTCCCAGCAGGGCAGCAGTCAACCGGAAGTTTGTAGTCAGCCCACCACTGAGTTTGGGTTGGGGGTGGGTGGGGGTGTGTGTGTGTGTTGAGGTAGTGTCTCCCGTGCAATTCTGGCTGGTCTTGAACTCACTATGTAGCCCAGGCTGACTCAAACTCACAGCGACCTTCCTGCCTTAGCCTCCTGGGTGCTGGGATCATAGGCATGTGCCACCCCCAGCATGGTTAGGTTGTTGACAGGTGTGTTTCACCTCACCTCAGTGTTTTCCAGGCCTGGAGTTAGCCAATCCCTTGGAACCGCAGCCCACAACAACCAGCCGCAACTTGCTGTCCTTGAGAGAGGCCAGTTTCCAGGGACGTGCCCTACTAGAGCATAGAGCCACTGTCCACATGGTGGTATCGCAAGGAAGTTATCTTAATGTAAAGAGAGTCTCCTGCTGTGCCTCTGGAGAGTGGGTGGTCGAGCTGGACCACAACCAGTGCTGCGAACTGTGGCGGGTCGGGAACACTTCTGGGGCTTGTACACGCAGCTGGAGTTGAGTGCCGCCACCGAGCCCTCTGTCCTAGGCCAGTATGCAGGGTAACATGCCTTCATGTGACCAGGATCTGGGGTGCTGCAGCCTCCCCCTGGAGTGGTTTCCAGGTTCTCTCTGTCCTGAAGAAAGAACTGATCAAGACAAGCGCAAATGGTAGTGAAGTTTTACATTTATTAAAGGTAGAAAAAGAAACAGGCTCTGCAGAGCAAATCTGGGACCGTCAAAGTAGGGAAAGAAGTGCTTCCGACAGCGTGCAAGCAGCCAGGAGGCTCAGTGGATGCCATGCTTTCAGACGCCTCCCCTCAGGCTGGCATCCTAAGGAAAGCCGCTCAAGTTCTCGAGAGGATCAGGTGCTGAGCTTCAGGCAGTGCTCTGCAGGGTCCCGGGACTTCCCTTAACGGGCCTCGCTCCCTCCTCCAGCCTGCTTTTTCACACCCTAATTTCCTGCCTCTTTTGGGCTTGAAAGCATTTGCATACTGCAGTGGTGGGAACATACAGCTTGCACGCCATGGCTGGCTGGCTGCTTGTGTCAAGGAAAGCTCTGAGGGGTCTGCATCCCTGACGTAGAGGGTCGTCCGGAGGCTTTGGCCTGGGAGTAATGGCTGTGTTCCTGCAAGCCCTTTATAGGCACACAACACCCGGGGCTGCTCCACTGCAGCAGGGTGCAGGACTGTTGGGCACAGTGCGCCCCGAAACCCAGCACTCTGGCTGGAGGGTCTGGGCTTTAGGGATTCAGTGGAAGAAGCCTGTCTCAAAGGGGTAGGGGTAGACACCTCAGTGTGAAGGCCCTGGGTTCAGCCCCAGAACCAAAGGTTGAGAAAAGCCCAGACATGGTGCCACTCACTGTAGTCCCAGTACTTGGGAGGCTGAGGTAGGAGGATCGCCACACGTTCGAGACCAGCCTGGGTTCCACAGTGAGTTCAAAGCCAGCCTGAACTGCACGGTGGGATCCCATGTCCAAACAAAAGGGAGAAAGAGAACAGGAGAAGAGCAGAAAGCAGAGAGGCGCAGGGCTGCTCTGCATGCCTGGAGAAGCCAACACTCACTGCAGAGCCTGCTGTTCATGGCCCACAGACACCCGAACCGAACCACACCTTGGGTTTTGGTCCCAGAGCCCTGGGTGGCATCTGGAGAGAGGAGCCCCTTGGCGTCTACAGGTTGTACTGCCCCAACTCATCACTGCCAGCCCCGATCAGCCAGGACTTAGCACAGCCGCTAAGCACTGCCCCACCTGGTGTGCTCCTCCTGCGTCCATCACAGGTGCAGTGGGTTCCTCACGATTTCCACGGGCAGCTGGCTGGGTGAGACTGCGGCGGTGAGCAGTGCTCACCTGGTGTGGCCGAGGCTGAGGCTGTGTCTGCAGTGGACAGGACAAGAGAGCTTGGCTGCTGCTGCACAGGCAGCGGCTCTGGCTCCTCCCACGTGTCTGGAACTGGCTCCAGGAACTCTTGTCCAGAGCTTTGGGCCTTCCAGGCTCCAAAACTGTGCCTTGCGTTTCTCATGTTCTGCCTCTGGGTCCTTGGGCTTTCAGGCTAGCAGGCAGCACTGTGGACTGTCCTGCCTCTAATCCTAGAAGCTATCAAGCCCCCACATAATCAGCACTCTGACCAGTGCAGAGCTTGGTGCCCAGAGTGGTCCTAGAGAACAGAGTACACTGTTGCATTTCCTGGCCGGCTGCATCTCTAGAGCTAACTCAGTGAGCTCGGAGGCT